GCACCCTCTACGGCTTCGGCGGCTAAAAGCGCTTTGTTTTGCTAAGCTACACTGTTACAACACCAAGGCTCTTTTCAGAGCCACCCACAAACTTCACAATAGGAGCTGCTTACTGTTCTCTAATGTTTATTGTTACAATTCTGATATATGTGGCTTTATTGTAACCTTCATTATAAGTTTTAAAATGCAACATACTTGTTTTAAAATTTGTCTTTAAAACAGCTTAATCTATTGTGTTATATATCAATATAGTATAGGGAAATGCCAATGTTTTATGGAGTTACATTAATAATAATTTAAGTATATTTCTGTGGAGATTAATTTCACTAGTGAAAGTAGCTCCCTGTTCACTGTACCTACAATGATTGAAAAGTAGCAGCACTGGAGCTGTAACACAGCAGGACAGAAGTGCTTGTAATCATGTTTGTGTCTTTTTCTCCCATAGGAAATGAACATTCACAGCCATTTCATTTGCATAGCATCCTTATATAGAAAGGGGTAGTTGCCATTTTTAAGGTTGTTGAGATTCTGCGAAGATCTTTGAAAGAAAGTTTTGAAGATGCCTGAGCCAGCAAAATCCACTCTAGCACTGAAGATAGGCCTAAAGAAAGCTGTCACCAAGACGCAGAAAAAAGGGCGACAAAAAGCGCAAGAAGAGCCGCAAGGAGAGCTACTCCATCTACATGTACAAGGTGCTGAAGCAGGTGCACCCCGCCACAGGCATCTTGTCCAAGGCCATGGGCGACATCTTCAAGCGCATCGCCGGTGAGGGGTCACGCCTGGTGCACTACAACAAGCGCTCCACCATCATGTCACATCTATTTTAACCCAAAGGCTCTTTTAAGAGCCACCCACAAACTCCTTGAAAGGGCTTTAACACACACGCCTGCTATATAGGTCATTTAAATAAGTGAGCATACAGTCATAAATAATAGTATCTTTTCCACCGCACTTTATTAATTTCTCACTGTTTGTACTGATATTTATCTTAAAAATCTGCCCATAAAGCCACAAATTGTCTATCTGCTGTCAAATACTGTTTTATCTTTTTCAGTAAACACGAATGCTACTTTTAAGCTTCATTCGGAATGGGAGCGTGAACTAAGTGATAATTACTGTTAAAGCGGCCATTAAGCAGGTACCAGCTCCAAGTAAAAAAAGGTTGAAAGTAACAGCACCCTAACTGCTCCTTTAAGATCCCACCCCCCACCCACCGTTTCGTAAAAAGCAGTGGGACTCCACTGGAGAACACTTTAAATCTAAAATGTTAAATACAAACTTAATCTTTTTTTAAGTTCTAATAGAATTTTAAACTGCAAACTAAAAAAAAAAAAACTCTCAGAATTTTAAATTTGCTACAGTGACAAACAGCTTTTATTGTGAAGTTTGTGGGTGGCTCTGAAAAGAGCCTTGGTGTTGTAACAGTGTAGCTTAGCAAAACAAAGCGCTTTTAGCCGCCGAAGCCGTAGAGGGTGCGGCCCTGGCGCTTGAGCGCGTACACCACGTCCATGGCCGTGACCGTCTTGCGCTTGGCGTGCTCCGTGTAGGTGACGGCGTCGCGGATCACGTTCTCCAGGAACACCTTGAGCACGCCGCGCGTCTCCTCGTAGATGAGCCCCGAGATGCGCTTGACGCCGCCGCGCCGAGCCAGGCGCCGGATGGCCGGCTTGGTGATGCCCTGGATGTTGTCGCGCAGCACCTTGCGGTGGCGCTTGGCGCCGCCCTTGCCGAGCCCCTTGCCGCCCTTGCCCCTGCCGGACATGCTGCCGCCT